CATGCTGGCTGGGGAATTCTGGGAGTTGAAGTCCACACACCTTCAAGTGGCCAAGCTTGAGAAATACTGCTTTACAATATATGATAAAACCAAGCTGGATTACAAGTAGTCCCCAGGTTAAGAGTGCCCATGTTACAGACAACCCATAGTTAAGAACAGAGCCGCCCATTGTAGCAAAATTTGAGTTCAATACACAAGGATTCGAGTTAAGTACACAGTGGTTCGAGTTCATTACACAATACTAGTTATACAGTATTATAGGAGAATACTGTTCTGGCTTACGTACACATTCGACTTAAGGACAGACCTTGGGAACGGAACTTAAACTGGGGACTCATATATTTTTAAATCCCTGGTGTATTCACCTGTATTTTTCATGTTCTCTTTTGTACTTTGTATTAAAGACATTTCATTTTTTTTTTTAAAAAAGGACTAAACTGGTTACATCTCTGGAAACTAGAAAATCCGTTATATTCTTTAAGTATGATATTATTACCATATAATATCATGACCAAATAATATTATCACTCTCCGTTGTCTTCCTTTCTTCATCTTTTCCAGGTCGCCGTGCCCTCTGAAATGCCTGTCTTCCTTCCCGTCTCTGGCTTCTGACGTCTTCCCTCCCCGCCCAGGCCAGGCCCCCCACAACCATGGTGCACACCGAAGGCAGCGCCCTGCTGAAAGCCGTCTGGCAGGGCAAATTCCGCCTGACCCGCTTGCTGCTGGAAGGCGGGGCTTACATCAACGAGGGCAACACCCAGGGGGAGACCCCTCTCATTGCTGCTTGTGTGGCCCCCTACGAGGACCCTCACAACAAGCCCCGGATGGTGAGGTACCTGCTGGAGAACGGAGCCGACCCGAACATCCCCGACAAGACCGGGCGGTCAGCCTTGATGCACGCTTGTGCCGACGGGGCTGGGGCCGAGGTGGCCGCCGTCTTGCTGAACCACGGGGCGGACCCCAGCGCCAAGGATTACTCGGGAGCGTCGGCGCTGGTGTACGCCATCAACAAAGGGGACCGGGAGACCCTGCAGGTGCTTCTGGATGCCTGCAAAGCCAAAGGAAAGGAGGTCATCATCATCACCACCGATACCTCCCCTTCTGGGACGAAGAAGACCAAGCAGTATCTGAATTCTCCGCCTTCGCCCGGCGCGGAGGAGAAGCATTCACCTGCACTGTGCATGTCTCCTTCGGACATTGAGCTCCGCACGGCCCAGTCTCCCGGGGGCAGCGAGAAGGAAGAGGAACGCGACGTCTTCAACTTCACCATGGCCACCAGACTCAGCTGCTCCCCACACACCAAGGGGAAGGAGATGGAGGAAAAGGGCTCGGGGCTGCTACCCAAAAGTCAGCCCAAGCAGCTGAAAAGGTTGAATTCTGAGCCGTGGGGCTTGGTGGCACCCTCCGTCCTGGCCGCCTCGTATCAGGAGAAAGCCCGGAGCCCCGAGGATAGAGTAAGGATCGAGATGAATGGCCTGAGCCTCACTAAAAGGCCTCCGTTGTCGCGGAGACACAGCGTGGAAGGCCAGGAGTCCTCCTGCTTCAAGATGGGAGCCCACCAAGGGTCGGGAGACGAGCCACCTGGCTTGGATTCCTCGTGGGCAGAGAAAGTCCATTTGGGCCACCTCCACCAGACCCTCTCCCGACACAACACGGCCCCTGAAGCTCAGGAGGGCTCCCAAGGTCCCAGTCCCAGAAGCGTGGCCCATCACAAGTTGACCTGCTTGGAACACTATGAGTCGGATTCGCTCTGCCCAGAATCCATCCCAGGATCGCCCGACTCCGGCCGGGTTTCGCTGGAGCGGAGGAAGTACAACGCCTCTCCTCTGACCTTGCCAGCCAGCTCGTCCCGGGAGAGTTTAGAGAGCATCCCTAATGCCGTCTCCCCCATCACGATACGGCGTAGGACCCCAGGCCTCCTCGAGAGAAGGGGCTCAGGGACGTTGCTCCTGGACCACATTGCCCACACCCGCCCTGGCTTCCTGCCCCCCCTGCACTTCAATCCACACCCTCCCCTCCGCGACATTCGAGCCAACGGCAAGCCCCCTTCCCCGGCCCACAAGGGGCTGATTCCCGTGGCTCCCTCGTCCCCCAAGACCAAGCGGCTTCTCCGCAGACACTCCATGCAGACGGAGCAGATGAAGCAGCTGGTCAGTTTTCAGAGCCTGATTGCACAAGGGGACTCCGTGGCCACCTAAAAAGGGTCGTGCCCGGAAAACAGAACCGACCCCATCTTTGTCTTTGGCCTAGTCAGGGCTTGGAGGGCCCATCCTGTCTTCATAGTTGGGTTTCCATGTCTTCCTCCCTTCTCTTGTTTGGTGTTCTACGTTGTAGCTACCATATTTATAATCTGAACTAAACTTGACTTTCTAAACCTGGAGTGGAGACGGCATCAAAAGAGAAAGGATCTGGAAAGGGCAATTCACAGTTGCTGTCCAGTGGCTACAATTCCAAGGAAATTCACACAGCTCTGACCAGATTTTCAGACAGGAAGATGTCCAACGAAATGTTGGCCAGGAAAATAGGAGATCGTTGACATCTAGCCGCTCTTTCCGTAGTTTTTGATGCTGAGTTGGCTGCTGCGAACACAGAAGACCTCAAGCAGTGGTCCAAGGAGAGCGACCTCTCACACAGCTGGATTGACTTTTGAGTTGAGAGCCGAAAGGTGGATTCATGTCTTGTGGATCCAGGACTTCTTCACGGATCCAATCCTTAGCTGCTGCGGCTTTGCATCAGGCACAGCTGTAAAACCCTTGCCTGTCTCCACCACCTCTACTTTCCAAAGCAGACCTGGGAAGGTTAGAGAAACAGTTGTGCTGTGGAGAATCAGGAGGCCACAAATGTGAAGATGTTCTGCGCATAGCAGCACCCGGGAATCCGGCACTCTCTGGTCTCGGTTCCAAGGTCAAATCCGGGGCCTTCTGCCTTTTCAAACCAACAGACGTTTGGCTGCTCCTCTCCCAGCCTCCCCCTTGTCTACAAAATGGAAAGAGGACCTAAACCAAATATTCTCGTCCTTGGTCACTGCTGTGTTTTCTCTCTCTGGATCTTGCTAGTGTTCCATGTCTTCTCAATGCTTTATCTGACAGGAGTCAGAACTCAGGGCGGGGTGTTCAGTTTTGGGAGATTACTGGCTGAAAGTCTGCATGTCCTGCAGTTGATCGGACTGGGAAGCTGAAAAGCGAAGACTCTCTTTAAGTTCTCTTTACATCACCCCGGTAGGAAAGCGTTGAGTGGGTTAAGTTCTCTGTAGAAGGTCTAAGACTTTCAGGGTTATTTCTGATCCTGTAAGGATTCTGCTGGTCTTCAGGAGGCTTCTGAACTTAACTTCAACTTCAACTCAATTGTCACGGCAGCAACAAACTCTGCGCAGGTCAGAGTTTCGGTGACGAGGCCAAAACATTTCCAAAAACCGCTCTTTCCATGGACGCTCGTTCTTCTGAGTTAAAATCAGACACACCTTTCTTCTTTACTTCAATCTACAGGGAGAAGATGGATCCCTGAATCGATTCCCAGAACAATGGGTGAGAACAATTCCAGTGGGATGGATGGCCAGTTTAAAACGGTTCTCTGGACCTGGTGTTTCTTTTTAATTTTTTTAACCTCGCCTGTCAGGACTCAGGGATAGCACCTTGATTTTGATGCCACAGAGGTACTTCCAGGATGTCCTCATCTCTGTTGGCTGTTGTTCCCCTCTTCTTCGAAAGAGTGATCTTGGAGCTTACAACCTGGCAGTGTCCTTCTCAGCCCATCCCTTAGCAGGCTTTCTCCTTCCTGGCAGCTGAGGATCCTCCGTAGCTCTCCAGAACTTTAGTTTCTGTGGCTTCCTTGAGGAAGCATCAAGGGAATTCATTCAGTTAGACCAGTGTTTTCCAAACTAGCACAAGCCTTGCTGTAGAGCGGTGTTTCTCAAACTTGGCCGCTTTAAGACGGGCGGGGCCCTTCTTCCTCCCACATACTCGTACCCCCTACCCACCGCCACGCGCGGCTGGGCGTTTGCTCGGTGCGAGTCCTG